ATTTTCGGGAGCGACTCGCAGCAACAAAGTTGTAAACTCGATCTCACGTTTGCCACAATGTACCTTCGAAAATAATACGAGTTAACGATGTTACAGGCGAGAATGACGCTTGTAACAATGTTACATTCAAGCGTAGTGCTTGTAATAATGTTTGCATTCGAAATAGTGCTTCCATCGATGTTGCATTCGAGAATGGAGACTGCAGCAATGTGTGCATTCAAGTTTCAAAGATGAACAGTGAAATAAAAGTATCTTGCTACTTAAAAATTACCGTTCAACGATATAAAAGTTCTTTTCCTGCTACTGCAACCGTGTCACACACCTCAATCAATTTACATCCTCAACTCACACAGAAACATAAGCTCCGCGCAAACAAGACGTCATTATATATTCTCAACATATTCTCCACCCTTAAATAACCCCTCTGCACTCAATAGTGATTGACGTGGTGTATATCCACGACGTGGTCCACGAGTATTCAATTCAATTTCAAAACTACTTATCGATCTTGATCCTAACTCATCGCCAAGGTATTATCTTATCAGGTATACACAGCGTGAGACAGAACGCGTGGTTCAATCGGACAGAGTGCGATACTACACGGAAAAATAAACAGAAACTAATGAATAAAATTATTTCGTTTAAAGCCGCACGTGAATATCGACGTATGCAATCTACTGCCATTTGGGCTTTCCAAAGAAGAAGGACACTACTATTTTTCATCTATCTTTTTTTTTTTGCTTAAATTGATAGTTGATATTTTGAAAAATATAAATTTCGATGATTTTATGCCATTAGAACCAATTTGACGAAACGCATTACCGTCGATCAGTAATCGAAACTTCAAACGTGCTTTTCTCAGAGTGATATTCTTTATAGTCCTTAAATTCTACAATTTTCGTCTGATTCATTAGAAATTTTCGCAAAATACTCTCTGTTATGTAGTCTAAAGAAGAAGGTACGTTTATTTTTGTAATATATTGAAAACTTTTTCCGCAAT